GACCAAGGACACCATTTTATCCCCTGGCTAATAGCCTTTTATGGACCTAACCTCCATGAAATTATCTAGCTTCTCTTTAAACTCCATTATAGTCCTAGCCTTCACAGCCTCCTCTGGCAAGGAGTTCCACAGGTTGACTACACGCTGTGTGAAGAAGAACTTTCTTTTATTCGTTTTAAACCTGCTTACATGCACCAGGCTCGAGACAGGCCTGGGTTTTGCGTTTTAGGGATCTGCACTGTCAGGGCTTGATGAACGGCGGCGAAAGCCGCTTGCTAGCCCCGCACTGCGCATGTGCAAGAGCTGCATTGCGCATGCGCGCGCCCCCGGTACACGATGAACGGCGGCGAAAACCGCTTGCTAGCCCCACACTGAGCTGCATTGCACATGCACGCGCCCCCGGTACACGGGGACCGGGCTGGGTGGCGAGTAGATTCAATAGATTGTCGAGCCCTGTGCACTGTGGACAAGGCAGAGCTCCATTTATTGGCAAGGCGAGGCTCCTCTACATGAACTTCAATAATTCTGCCTTCCCTGCCTGGTATTTATCCCTCTGGTGCATTTAGAGACAGTAGGGCCCAGCTCACCATTGTGCTGAGCCCCCTTTAGGTCATGTTGATGGAGACCCTTCCCCTCCCGCATAAAGGGGTTTGCTTGCTGGTGTTCGACTACTGGAGCAAACCCTTTGCTAGCCCTGCTCCCAGCATCCAGGACAGTACAGGCCCTGGGGAGGGAGTGGGAGGTACTGCCAGAGCGCACTGCTACAGAGCGTCACAGGAAGCAAAGCCTAAGGGTACGTCTAAACTTCACCCCTCCGTTGGCAGTTTAGACGTATCCTAAGTTAGAGCAACCCCAAGTCTGCTGTAACTGACATGCTGGGCCTGTGCCTGTTCCCCTTTGTGCCTCCCCACCTCCCACTCCACGCCTCAACCCTGATGCACCCACAGAGAACGGGAATGCGCAGAGTTTCACGGACTTGCTTGAGATCACCCAGGAAGCCAACCCAGAGATCCAGACTCCCAGACCTCACCACAGCTAGGCCAGATGTGCAGACCTCGGCTGACGTCCCGGGCACGTTCAGAAGTCAGGCCTGCCTTGGTTCTCCTCCAGGCAGACTGAGCTGGCTACACTGAATACAGTTGATTAGGGACTGGAAGCTTAATTAAATGCAGTGGTCAGAGAAGAAGCAGCATTTTCTGGATCCTGGTCAATAGCCGAAGCTTTAGTCTGGTGGAGGGGAAACCTGCGGCCCCTGGATCTGGCTCCCGAGATTCAGGGCTCCCCCACAGAATTGGGGAGCCCGTGCTGATGCTCCATCCCCACTGGAGCACACAAAATCTACTAGCCTGGGCCCCCCTAAGCTCTGGTGTGCGAGGGGATGTGGGGAGAGTCTTTCTAGGGAGGGGTGGGTTTCAGTGAAGGGTGGGGATTTTTTTGTTTCGGTTTGTTTTGTTTTCGCTTCTCACTGGTGTGTGCGGCCCCCGACTGATTTTTCAGTGTGGGGGGCACTGACCCAAAAAAGGTTCCCACCCCTGCTTGAGTCCAAAGTACAGTAAAACTCCAATAGTCCGGCATCCAATAGTCCAGCACTCCTGATAGTCCGGCATCAAAATGGCAAGAGCCTAGTGAGTGAGCTTCGGCAAAAAATGAGTCACAAGGTAACAGCGACATCAGCTGAACTGAGCAAAAAGGGTAAAAAAGGCTTAAAAAAACTAAAACATTACAGTATACTGTATACAGTATGTACAATGAAAAGGGTTAAGAACACTTTCTATACAGTATATAATGTATACAGTATATATATAACCAGCTTATAGTACCTCCTTTGGTATATATGGTTGTGACTACTTTCTTCCACTATTTGATCTGAGGAAGTGGGTCTGGCCCACGAAAGCTCATCATCTAATAAACCATCTTGTTAGTCTTTAAGGTGCTACATTGTCCTGCATTTTGCTTCAGCTACCCCAGACTAACACGGCTACATTTCTATCACTATAGTACCTCCTGATAGTCCGGCATATCTGATAGTCTGGCACCACCTAGGTCCCATAGGTTCCGGATTATCGGAAGTCAACTGTATATTGATAACGTGAGAGACTGAAGGTTCATCAGCCATAGATCACAGGCACCCAAGCCAGCCACCAAGCTTTTCTATACGGGCATCTTGGCACCATCTGACTTCAGTTCCTTGGGGGCCATATCAGAAGAGTCAACCCCAGCTCGCAGTCCTGGCTCTGAGAGGGTGACGGGAGGGGGCACTGCTGTTGCATTGGGTTGCTTCTGTTGCCAATTCTCAGCATCACAGTGTTGCAGGGTATCATCTCTTTGAGCCGAGTATGGATCAGTGCGCCTCACTGACGGACATTCATGCAGATGGGTCTTTGCCTGCTTGGAGGCTGCGGGAACAGCTACCCAGAGACACATAAGAAGGGAAATCTCTACGGCTGCAGCCATGTAGGCTATGTCTGCACTACGTGTTTTGTCGGACAAAGCAATGCAAATGAAGCCATCTCCCAGAGGGGCATAAGGATCTTGCACAACAATGGACACGTCCACACTGCTTGTTTTTGTGCAAAAACCTCTTGTGCAAAACCAGAATGGAATAGATTATGCAAATGAAGCACAAGAAAATGCTAATCAGCACTTCGGTTGCACTGCATTTGCCAACAAAACATGTAGGCTGTGTCTACACTGGCCACTTATTCCGGAAAAATCAGCCTCTTTTCCGGAATAACTTGCCAGCTGTCTACACTGGCCCCTTGAATTTCCGGAAAAGCACTGACAATCTAATGTAAAATTGTCAGTGTTTTTCCAGAAAAACTATGCTGCTCTCGTTTGGACAAAAGTCCTTTTCTGGAAAACTATTCTGGAAATGGGCCAGTGTAGACAGCTCAGTAGTGTTTCCCGCAAAAAAGCCCCGATTGTGAAAATGATGATCGGGGCTTTTTTGTGGAAAAGCGCATCTACATTGGCCACTGCGG